ACCCCCCCCCAGCAGATGATTCTAGTACCTCAGGAAAGAGATCACACAGGATACTGCAGACATGTAAGTGCTGGTGTATTTAAATATCTCTCCTCTGTTCTCCTCATGACCTACAATGACATGTCCTAGAGCACACACTTGGCTAGTGACTCCTCTTCTCCTTGTAGCCAAAGTCAGAACAGAAAGTCAGGTTATGAGACGAGGGTAAATCAACAACAAATTTAGTATTTTTTCTACAAGCTCCTTTCCCATTTTTCTTCTATCTTCAGGCTGAGTTGCTGGCATCAACCTCCTTCGGGTGTAGCTAATCCAAAATTTAAGTTTCATGGCCAATGACCACCTAGTTTGGATATAAACAGTACAAAGCCAGAGTCTGCTGAATCCATTGATTACATTCATGCTGGCCAACTCCTTCCCCATCTACACTACCAGGACTCCGGGGGTCAAATCTGTGCTTGCTTGGCTCGGCTTTGTTTCACAACATAGGAGTCTCCCTTGTGATGTTCTTTTTCTACCATCGAGAGCAAAGGCAGCCTTCAAGGGATTACCAGCTGGGAAGTTGTTCATCGCTGTCTTTACTACAAAATGGGTTTTTACCAGCCTAGATACAAGGAGTTTGTGGCCAGAAGCTGTGATAAGGCAGCTAATGTGCATTTTAAACACTAATACATACAGGGCATAAAATTTCCTGTGGAAAGAGTTAAGTAACAGGTCAATTTGTTAGAGATGAAAGTCATAAGGCAACCAATATAGACAATTCAATACTATAAACAAACAAGTTTGGACATGGGTGTGCTTTTTTCTGGAAGCTATTTTTCTGTCCCTTGTGAGGCTTTGGGTGAGAGAAGATCTCAGTGTTTTTCTTACTTATGTTAGATCCAGATAATTGGCCATCGCTGAGAAATGCAGCTAAGGCAGAGAAATGAAACAGATAAAAGCTAAAAGATTTCTTTTTTTTTTTTTTCCAAAAAAGCTGAGCACCCCTAAGTTAATTACAGGCAGGCAGTCCGGCAGCACACATCACTACTGCCCCACGCGCTAAGCAATCAGGCACCTGTGCTCTTCTATAGACTTAAGCCAGAATAACTACATTGTTCAACGTACAACATGTCGTAGCGATTTGAGATGAGTGTTTCTACTGTAAATCAAATTTCCTCTTCTATTAAATCCTTCTTTGGGTTAACATCTATGCCTGAAAGCACCGTTCTTCTCCCTCCGCCTCCCATTTTCCCTGCCCTGCCAACAAAGCTAACAGACGCCCCAAAAAACTTAAAGCTTGACTTTGTAGACATCACAGAATGACATCTTAGTGGGACAGGCAGGCTATGACATGAATGACAAAAATACCTTTAAACATTAGAATTTGAAATTAAATTAAATTTATCTCTGCCTTTCTCACTATTGTACAGATTCACCCATTGTCATCGAGCTTCAAGAAAACTGGAAAAAAAAAAAAAAAAAAGGTATACAGCTAGAGGAGCCCCCAAGCTTAAACGTGTATATGCAACACACGTGCTTCTTTTTAATTCAAATATTGATATTTCACTGAAGTGTTTGGGTTTTCTCTGGGATGTAGGCTGGCTGTGCGACTTGCAGGTATTGAGCAATTCACACGATGACGAGTGCTGCGAGTAGAACACGTCTGTATCCATCATTTGTGGGGTGGTTTAAATCTAGATTTCATAGTATGTGAAAGTTAGAGGTATCACCGCACTAAGGACTGCAAGAATATATATATATATTAAGTTATTAAAACAGATAAAATCTGGCACAAAACCTACTCTCCACCTCGAAATTCTGATCTCCTTAGATTGCCATCACCAGGACTCCTGGCTAGTCTCCAATTTATTACTACAGCATCCTTTAGCTGTTGTGTCATCTGGTCCACCTGAACTCTCACTTTTGTGAAAGAAAATTTGGTCTAAAATAAAAGAACACCTACTCAGAACTCAATCTGTGGAGTTTTATTCAGTATATAACTTTGCAGTAAAGTCTTGTTCCAACCTCAGTTACCCCCAAAGTCTGTTAATTTGCTTTTGAGATTTACTTGGGCAAAGATTACAGGAACTGACCCATTTCAAACCTGTTCACTGGTGAAAACTAATTATGTGGACACACGTAATTCTTCTACAGAAAAGGATTGTGCCTCTCCCTGACACCAGTGAGTCTGGCTCGC